ATCCTTGTCCTAGCCCCAGGTCTGAAGTTTTGATTCAGGCTTTTAAATCTCCAATCTAGCTGGTTGTGCTTTAATCCAAACATTTTATCCCTTGATATGTATGGTGGTAAAAGAACTACTATTGGATTAATTGCCTTCTTAGAGTAATGTCATATACTTGACTTTAGTAATTAAGTTGTTTATCAGCCCTCTTTTCTCCCTATTAAATCATTCTAACTTAGCTCTTCCTTAGAGTGCCTCACCTTCCTTATAGAACTAACTTTTCAACTAATTTTTACTTGGCTATTGATTTCTGAACTTTTAATTGGGATAAACAAACAATACACTGACAAAATGTCCAGTGTAGTTTTATATGTTGTGATTTGCAATGCAAATACTAATTGTATTTTCCCCAACCAGCAGGTCTATACATAGCACTAATGTATGCTATTGTAGTCTATTGTTGGGGCTTTTATTATCTGAGCCCCTAATGCCTTTCTTATATCCTGAGAATATAATAAGCACAATAAGTAGAGGCCCTAAGACCAGGTGATTTCTCAGAGCTACAACTGAGCTCCCACAGAGAACTTTGGAACTTGGTGGCTTGGAGTCTCAGTTGCATTTTTCATACTTTTCCAGGTAGGGAAAAGTTGGTTATGGCGTCAAATCCTGCCATGCTTAGAAAGTACATCTTGTGACCCAGTATCATACATATTTGCCTGATTTGAATATTTTTCTTAAGAAATACCTGACATTTAATGAACACCAACTAATGCTAATTAACCTATGATCATCATCATCCCACTTTATAGGAGAGAAACTGAGGGCAGTAAGAATTTAAACAACTTGCTCAGAATCACATGGCTGCTTGGGAAGCAGCCGAGATTTGAAACCTGCCATCTGGCTTCAAAGTTAGTGATTTTAATCATTATTCAATTCTGCCTCTTGGACACCATCAAGTAGGGCAATTCAGGTTAATCCTTGCAACAGCTCCGCATGCCACGTTATAGCCATTTCCACTTGATGAAATTGAGACTCCAGAAAGCAAAATAAGTTGACCAAAATTACCTCTTTTTTTAACTGAGTGAAATTCATGAAAAACATGCTCACTTTTCCCTTTCCACATGAAGAGTATTCCTGGGCAAATCAAGCTATATGACCAAGTGCATACAAGCAACTCAGAAAGAAATAGATTTCATCTTATGTCATATCTTAAGGCACAAATTGTGAATTCTTGCCAATGCTGATATGAATTTAGGTGATAAAAATCAGAGGGCTCATTGAGTAATAGTTTCCCCTTAGGTCTCCATCACATTCCAAGCTGATGAACTAACATGTAATCTCTGCTGACCCTGAAAGCTTCATTTATGAATAAATACGTGGGTGCTGATTTAATCTCATTCATTTCAGTTCAGCCTGGCAGCCTCAGAACACATAGAAGTCAGACAGCTCTCTGCCATGGCCCAGTTTCTGGAGGCTAGCTTGGGCTCTGTATCTGGAGCTCTCCTGCATCTCAGTTGGCACACCTCACTCAGGCAGACGGAGCCCTGCCTGTGCCTCTGGAGGATCCCACTTCCTAGCCCTCACCATTCTGCACTTTTGTTCATGGTTTCTGGGTCTAGATGAATGAGATTTACATAGTTTTAATAAATATTAATAACCATTTTAATCTCAGTAAACCTTTTGTATGAGACATTCAAATCACCTCTCAATCATCGCAGGCCCCCCATGAGAGTGCAGACATCATTTGGCAAAGCTGCGCCAACCTCGTCAGGCCTTTAGGGCCCCGTTTGGGCTGGACCAGTGTATCAGGGAACATGCTTGGGAAGAAAACAAATACACACTTCGGACAGGAGTGCAGGCAGATCACTTCCATTTTTAAACATTGTACTCCTGTCTATATTTTTAATATAAGTACCACCTATGCCCTATTATTTTTGTAGTAGGATGTTTTATAATATTAATGATAATACTAGAAGCTAATATTTATTAACTGTTTACCATGCTATGTTCCTAAATGCATTGTTTCATTCAATCTTTCCAATTACATTATTAGATAGACATCATTATCACCCCCACCTCACAGATGACAAAATGGAGCCTCAGAGAGGTTGCTTGTGCCAGGTCACATAACCAGAAAATCACATGATGGTATATCTACATTATAAATGAAGTTTGTTTGCTTTTAATAATCAATGGCTGCCCATGGCACAGCTTTATCATTCACCTTTTTGTTAAAACCAAAATATTTAGAAGAAATAATATTGTATACTTAGGAAAATAATGACTCAGGTAGACCTAGCCTTGGGAATGGGAATGGTGAGAGAAAGGAAAAGAAAAAAATTACTTCAAAATGCCTAGTGGATTGGGAGCCTGTAAAGTGAATTTTAAAATACCTTTCTATTCATAGCATCAAGCTAAATGAACTTCACATTCATGAGCCATTAGAGCTGGAAATCTTGGGCATTACCTAACTCAAGCTTTTTATTTTACAGCTGAGGAAACTGAGGAGTAAAGGTGTAAAGTAACTGACCCACGGTTATCATAATCATAAACATTTGGATTATTCCTTCAGATATTACTTCCTTTTACTATTACTATTTGTTATTATTGTATTTCTTAAAGTATTTTGAGATATATACACAGGCTAAATGCTAATACAAATAAGATATTTTGCTATGATTTATTTCTCTATGTGTAAGTCACTACAGACTAGCATTCATGCATCATCTATCTTAGCAGATGGAAATTCTAGAACACTTACAATTAAGCACAGATGAAGTCAGCATAATTTTTCTCCAGAATCATCAAAAATTTCCTATTCTCAAAACCAAATGATAATGTGCCATTCTCAAAAGGACAGCCATTCCCTCTAGTTTAAGACTGATGTCCTGTGTTGACAGTCTGTGTGTCTCAGTGGAATTCTCCCATGGTTGGTGGGAGTTAGCAGTTTATGTGTTTTCACCATTGCTGGACAGTGGGCTGCACCATGAGCTTTTTGCTGGCAGGGACTTTATGTTTTCATCATTGTCCTCAGTGCCTAATGTAAGCCTTGGCACCATAATGCCTATGGAATAACAGAGCAGAAACATGGAAAGGCAGGCCAGTCTCAGGTGCACACCAGACCGAACTCTAGACTCATAGTGTGAAAATATTCAAATCCCTGTTCAGAGTGAGAATGCCCTGTCCTAATTTATTAACCAGAAAATGGCCAGTAGTCATGAAGGTGTCCCATACTATCAACATATTTAAGAGGAGGGGTAGTGCCACGAGGCAGTGAAGGAGTACCCTAGAAATTCCTTTTAATTATATTGGGAGAGGGGTTCTTTTAGTGTGCTTTTAAAGTTACTTTTATTATTATCTTTAAACCTGTGTCTTCTCCAATTAACATAAAAATGTCAACAATGACACCTTTGTGAGGGCTCAAGCCACAGGTGATGTTTTGGAGACTGATCATGTATCCTTTCTCATTCAACATCTATAGGATATTGTGCCATGTGCCAAGAGATAAAAATGAGAAAGACAGTCTCCTTTCCTCAAGGAACTTGCAGTCTTGGGGGGAGAGGGAAAACAGCACACATGTAAACATACAATTACAATAAAGGCAGGTTAAGATAACCTGCTCTCAAGTCAAACTTCTGGAGTTCAACTCCCACTCCATATTTTACTATTTGTGAGGCACTGAGTGGGTAAAATACGGATAATAATAACACCTATTATGCAAAGTTCTTGGTGAGTTAAACAATACACATAAAAGCTTAGTATGTGGTAAGTATGCAAGAGCATTAGCTATTATAATAGTGGTCCATACATTTCTGTTGTAAATGTTTTAATGGCAATATGAACAGAGTAAGTGCACTTAACTATAAAGGGTTGTGGTGGGGAAGATAAAAACTACCTTCCTGAAAAACCATAAAGATGGCTATGAATCAGATTGTGTCCAGGATGGTTGAAATTGAGACAAGAAGTGGCTGGTCTCTCTTTTAGGTGTCTGATGGGACAAGTCCAAAGGCTTGGAGGTATGTAAAAGCCTCAGCTATTCAAGGTAAGGCTTAAACTTCCAGCCAGCTGGACCAGAGAACAGAAGATGGGCAGAGGGTGAAGAGGAGATATAGCAGGTGAGTCATAAAGGGCCTCTCTTTACTTTGAAGAATTTTGATCAAGAGAGTGACATGACAGAACTTTGTAAGGGTCACTCTGGCTACCGTGTAGATAAGAATGGCTCTGAAGACACTAGAGCAGAAGCAGGAACACCAGTTAGAAAACCATTGCAATAGTGCAAGTGACCAATGATAAGAACCTAAACTAAGGTGGCAGCAATGGGAGCAAAAGGAAGAGGTTTGAGAGGTTTTTAAGAGAAGGGTAGGACTTGGCTATTAATTTGGATGTAAGAAGCAAAGACAAGGAGCAACCCGAGATGACACCTGGATTTCTGACTCAAGAGACTGGATGCATGAAAGAGCAGGTACAGCAGGGGGGATGACACATGTAGTTAGGGGCATGTTGAGTTTGTGGTTGTTTGTAGGATTTTCAGGAAGAAAGTTCTAGCATTCAGAAGAAATATAGAATTTTAAAGTCATGGAGAAGATCCAAGAAATTATATTGTGTCTTGAAAACACTTGATTTAAAGCTGTCTCCTGAATTTATCTTTGTTGTCATGGTTAAAGATGAGAACACTAAAGACAGAATATATGGTTCTTCTAGAATATCAGCTTTCAATTTTATTAAAATAAATGACTCACTTAGATGAAGAGATGGATGACTTCTACGGTGTCTTACAATTCTAAAACTGATTCTGTTGTTTCAAAAAACAGCCATGAATCTGGAATTACCTTTAGATGATAGTGAACTTGTGGCCTTAAAATGTCCTTTGTGGGTATGTGGAATATGTATATGTATATGTATATGCATATGTATATATTTTAACAAAAGCCCACTATCTCTAAAGTCATACCACCCCAAGGTGCAGTGGCTATGTTTATGAAAAAGAAAAACAAAATAAAGACACTATCTACATTTACCTACTCTGGTCCCAATTGGCTGCAAACAGCAGGAGAATCTTTCTGCCGTAGTGGTCACGGTTTTCCAGCACTCCGGGGAACCCATCGATGAGAGCCCTCTTAATGCCAGGGTCATCGGCCTTGAAGTTTTTAAACATGTCCAAGTTTAGCTGGCGGTACTGGAAGTACTGGGCCAGGAGTCTAAAGGCATCTGCTTGGTGAAACTTCCTGGCTCGGAGAAATCTCAGGATGAAGGCATCATCTGTACGTAAAAATCCAATGTCAGGCCTGGTGATGATCATGTCCCTGACTTGTTGAATATCCTGATGTAAAACATCTGGGTTTTCATTCAGTTCCAGGCGAGCTTTCTCTATAGTCTCTGGACTGAGTCCAGCCTGTAAATGGGTCATCTTGGCCAAATCTCTTTTCCAAGTGTTTAATTTCTGATATTTGGGAAGAAAAGAAACTGGTCCCATTCACGTGATGGTCTGCTGAAACCCAGGCCCACTCAACAGTTGTCTTACTACAATGCTGCCACTGAAACAGACAAATCAAGGGTCTTCTTTCTGTTCCTGAAAAGCAGTAGGACATCCAGGTCCTATGTGGTGGTGGCCCTCCAAAAGGGAAGCAGAACTGAGGCCATTGCTACTGCAAAACAAGAGAAACAAAACAGAGATGATACAAAGAAAGTCTGGGAAAATTAATTGAATCTGAAATTAGAAAAGCAGCATATTATACTTCAGGCCTGATTAGATTAGGTATCCAAAGAATAAAAGATAAATTATCTTTAGAGGGGTATATTTAGCATAATTTTTATTGACAATTGAATGCATAACACGCAAGTATTTGAAATATGTTTAGGAATTTTTTTAGTTACATTGACTAGTTAACAATAGTATATTTTCATTTTAAATATAAATGTTTAAACTCAGGCATCTCTTTGATCTAACCTGGAAGTTTCAAAAATCAGAAAACATAAATAAACTTGGAGGCTTGTATTTTTTTCCTAGCATTCTTAAGTCAACAATATTTGTAATAAGAGGCAGTATATTTAGGACAAAATTTTGATATTAAGGGAAGAAAATGAAATAGTAATAGAAAATAATGCAGTGAACTATTTACAGAATTGAAAGAAACTTCATAATCCATCTAGTTCAATGAACACCTAATGTTAAAATTCCCTCTCAGCCTCACCATGCCCCTTCAAAAAGTTTCTTTCTTTGGTGTCTCTCTTTCATTTCATCCCTACACCCACTGCAATCTATCTTTGACTGTTCTTACCAGCCAATTATGAAGATGATCAAATAATTTATTAGACATTTAGGCATTAGAGGGACATGAATAATAATAATGCTGGAACAACAGGCATAAATTGGGACAGTCCCAAGAAAACCAGACAGATGGTCACCCTACTAGAGAATGACCTTTCTGTTGCTACATCCAATAGACAAATAAATTATAGTGTCTATTACGGGTGACCTCTATCAGTATTTGATACTGATGACTTCATGCTTTTCAAAACTCTCCCATCTTCCCAAACTTTCTGTGTCTTCATGGACCTTGATTTTTCTCTTAGCTTTCTGTCCTTTCCTGCTCAGTCATCTCATTCTGTGCTCACCACTTCAATGTGGTGTTTTCCAAGCTCCTGCCCCAGCATTTGACTATTCTACCTGGATAGCTTCAGTACATTGCTCTCTCCTGATCTTCAGGCTACATATCCAACTGTCTACTGAACACCTCCACTTAGATGCCCCAGACACCACAAACTCAGTATGTTCAAAACTGAACTAATCATACTTCTTCATTCTGAGTTTGCACACCCCCACCTCTGTCTCTTAGTGACTGACTTCATCTTCTGTAGATTCCCACACTAGAAACCTGGGACTCAGCTGTTATTCCACCCTCCTCCTTACCACCCACTTCCAGACAACCACTTCTATAATATTTCTCAAACCTACTCAATTTTTTTCCATCCATTTTCACTGCCTTTGTTTGGCCACATTACCCCTCACCTGTTCAGGACTGCAAAATTCTCCCTGCGGTGCCCTTACTGCCAGCCTTGTTTTTTTTCCATCTATTCTCTGTATTACAATGGAAATCTGCTCATGACACTCCTTGACTGATATCAATCAATAGCTACCAATTGTCCTGGGGTAAAGTATAAAGCTATGTAACATGTTTTCTAAGACCCTTCATCATCTGGTCCCTATCTGTCATCATCTGGCCATGCAGCACACTAAGGTACTGCAGTTTCTTCTCATTTCTGTGGTCCTTGGCAAAGATGCTCTTTATGCTTACACTGACCACTCATTAACTCCTCTTTGCCCTTCAGGAGTCATCTTGGAGATTATTTTCTCCAGGAAACCCTTATTTATCTGCAGAGGTCATGAGTAGCTCTGAAGCAGCTACCACAATTTATTGCCTTTTTCCTCTCTCTTTCTTTACTCTGAATTCCTTGCAGAAAAGAGCTGGATCTCACTCATCTGTGTATTCTCAATACAGTGCCTGGTATAAAGAAATTTATCTTCATGAGCAGATTGACTTCGTTGTGTTCACCTCCTATTCTCGGTGCATAGAACAGTGCCTGTTACAAAGTAGGTGCTCAGTAAGTATATGCATAATAATTGAATAAAGTGCTCAAAATGCTGTTTTAGGCCCTGACTGGCATAGCTCAGCGGATTGAGTGTGGGCTGCAAACCAAAGTGTCACAGGTTCGATTCCCAGTCAGGGTACATGCCTGGGTTGCCGGCCATGACCTCCAGCAACTGCACATTAATGTTTCTCTCTCTTTCTCTCTCTCTCTCTCTTTCTCTCTCTCTCTCTCTCCCCCCTCCCTTCCCTCTCTAAAAATAAATAAATAAAATCTTTTAAAAAATAAAATAAAATAAAATTTTTAAAAATGCTGTTTTAGTGAGTAAGGGGTTTCCCTTTCTTTATGGGTACATTTGGACCCAGTGAGGGCATTGCAGCTGGCTTTTTATTTCTTCTCTCATTTACAAAGTATTTTTCCTCTGGGAGAACTAAGCCTGGGCACATTTAACTTTGGATCATCACTCCTTGAAGCAGGCAAGGTGATGGTCAAATTTCCAAGCCATGGTACACTATGCTTAGAGCACAAGGAATAGTGCTAGCTTGTACCCTACAGAAGATTTAAAGCTGCTGGGCGTAAGTTACTTTCCTTACAGTTCAGGGAGCTCAACAATGTTTTTGAGATAAATTACTATGGGTTCAAGGGGAGAGTTGAGGTTGCATTTTTCATGGCCCACTTCCACACATAGCTGTGCCTCCAATCTATAATATCTGAAATAAATTTGCTTCAATCTATATCTTTATTCTGTGCTCAGCATACAGTGGAAGCTTCTGGGGAGATTATCCAAGCCAGGGTCACTGGGTTTTATACTTAAGATGAAATAGATATTTTTCATTAAAGGCAGATCTTTCATTTCAGAAGTCTGAATAGACTGCTACTTAAATAACAATTTCAATTGATAATATTTATAGCACTAAAAATGCAATCTTGTATAAGAATGTTTTCCAGGATACAGTGTTCTCAGTTGGCTATACTCTTTCATTCACGTGAAAAATGTGGTTCCCATTCAACTTTTCTAAACTGGTCAAACAAGTGCAAACAGATACATTATACTTGGTATCACATTAGTAGTTTTCTCTCCTGGTTGTATTAATAATAATAACCATAATTTATTATTTATTACAATTATGTTTATCATGTCCCAGGCACTCACATAATCTTCTTTTATACAGACATTATTTAATCTTTGGAACAACTGTATTAAATGAGTATAATATTGTCACCATTGTTTAAATGAGGAATCTGAGACATAGAGAGAGATTAAGTGACTTTCCCAAGATTACACAGCTACTAAGAAGCAGAAAGCAGGTTTAAGTCCAAGTGATCTTTCTCCAGTCCCATGCTTTTTACTGCTAGGCTTTTCTGCCTTTTATGTGTAGCAGAGAAGTTCTAATATTTAATACTTAAGACCCTTGGGACCTTCAGAAAGACCTTCCCTCTTAGGTTCTCACTCTCCTTCCTTAGATTTACCACTCTAGAAACTTACCTATGCCTAAAGGGTTAAGGGACATCCCTAGGTAGCCATACCTTACAAATGTCCAGTTACCATTATGTCTTATTCATTGAAAATAACTGAAACTATTTAAATCCCAGCTGTCTATACCTTTTTCAGCTATCACAATTTTTCCTCTTCCATTATGTATTTTCCTTTGGCTGAAATGACAGATCAAAGAACCTGCCATTCTATTGGAAGGGTTGATACTTTGCCATGCCTATCAGAGTGCCAAGCATGACCTGGGCATTGAAATGTGCTTGATAACCAAAAACAGCACTTCAGGCAGATCTTTGTGAGCCTCAGAAACCATCTTTCCTATTGCTGGTTTGGTCCCCAGTGGTTTTTTTTATTCAGATATTGTTCCAAATACATGAAGAATAACTTGCCACACCCCCTGAAGATCCCAAGGTAGAAACTAACTTCCACTTCTAATCCATGTTTTTTCAATGAACTAAAAATTATTAGTGGTATTTTTGTATAAGGGAGAGGAAAAAAAGCCTGCACGTCATGATATTTGAAAGCATGACATCTATAGATTCAAATTCATGTTTTACCTCAAGTTCCCATTAGAAAAAAACTATTTGTATATTTCCTTATCCAGAAGTAAGTCAAGTGCACACTCACCCCTATAAACACATGCTAATATTTATGAACCAAAGACTCTAGGTGAAAATGTAATTTCAAAAGTATACTAATTCAGTGCTCGCTTTGGCAGCACATATACTAAAAAAAGTATACTAATTCAAATAAAATCTATTTTGATTATTTTGTAATCTATTATTCTTATTTATTCCATTATCCTCAGAGGCACACATTAAATGTAGTGAGAAACAATCACAATAATAACCACATCTTGTTTATGATAATACATGTGCATATATATTATTTCAAAGCATTTTCTATCATTATTTTTCATTTTTACAGTAGTCCCACAACATGTAGAAGAAAGATAATACACTGGAAAATACTGAGGATTATGTGGAATAATGTAAGTAAAAGTGCTTTGGACATGGAAAGCTCTATTTTATGTTTACTGTAATATTCTTATTGATATCATTAATTTGTTGCCTCCAGATAAATAAAAAGATATTGAGGCCCAGAACAGCTAAGCACTTGGCTTAAAAAGTTGGATAATGAGCTAGTATTAAAGTTGGAAGAAAACACAAACAAACAAGTGTTCATTGACTACTTGTTATATTTATTAGATGAAAGGGTAAATCTGAGATTTAGATAGATTAAGTATACCTAGAAGAACAAAGATTCATACCCAAGCCTACCTGACCCAAACTCGATGTTTTGTCCATGACCCTGTCCTGCCTCTCAGAAGAGGGGCTTTACCTACACCATCCCGGAAACCAGTGCCCTTGCAATCACACAGGCACACTGCAGGCATATGCCCACACCCTACCAGTCCTAGGGAAGGTTATTTAAGGGATGCTGTAAAATTATCCAGATTGGGGGAGGAAAGCATAATTGTTGTCATGACCAGAAAGATAAAACCTATAAAGCCTAAATATTGTTTGAAATATGGGATATCAATAACTAATTAATAATACTTCA